TTCCCTAAAAACATGTGTATCAAATATTCAAAAGCAGTGCGGTCGATCCTCTCATTCCCAACGCACAATCTGCACGCGAGACCAGGATGTGTGGTGCAGCTGGATGACTTCATGTGTACGGGGAGAGGGAACACGCACATAAGAGCTGAACCCACAATCGATTGCTGAGTTGACGCACAGAGGAGGATTATTTGACAAACTGACAGATGTTTGCTTTCAGCCCACGGCGGAAAAGCTCATCCATGACTTAAAAACTCAACCCTTACTAATGTTGGAGGCTACATTGAGGCTCATTTATATATAACATGAGTCACTCTGATTCCGCCGTCATGCTGTCAAAGTTGAGGCCATTCTACAGCTGACTGATTTCTACAGATTCTCTTGCAACAAAGGACACTTTTGCTAAATAGAACTGTGCACGAGCGCTGTCATTTCCCCCCACGTCAGCCTCCACTATGGGCCTGATGCTCACACAAAACCACAACACAAATTGACGTTGATGTTTCTCCTCAGATGACTTTCCTTTGAGTATGAAAGGTCTTAAATAATGACTTTTTCCTGATTGTTGGTCTTAACAAAAGAATAGAAGAAGTCACCGGGGCTCCAGTACGTCAAAGAGGGGGAGCTGCAGCACAACGACATCCACGGGGAAGGCGGTTTGATGACAAAGTGAAATATAAGTCACAATACTGCAGTGCTTTGGGTGGTGTAGAGCAGAAGTTCTAAATCACAGTGATTGTGCGCTCATGTGTCTTCATTTGTTCGTGAATCCAGTGACATTTGACCTTGAGGTAAACTAAAAGGGAAGATACCAAATACGCAATATAAATCCACAAGCGTGAAAGGTCACATTAACATTACATCTCACATTCAAAATGTGTTGTGTAAGAAAGAGAGGGAGACGTCACGATTTCCATTCAAAACATCAGCAGCTTTAATGGATTTGCACTCTTGGGTTTCGTGTAAAACAGCTGCAAACGCAACATAATGTGTCAGTAACCAAACAGATCTCCGGGCAACTCCCGAGAGAAAAGATCTGTCTCTTTAGCTGCTTAGGAGTTCATTTATGTCCTTCTGCAGGTAAATGACACATGAATAGGATCGTAGGAAAAGAGAAGAGCGGAATCGATACAAACCGTATTGGATGGAGCTCAACGGGGAGAAAGTGAATAATGATTCCTTCTGCTTCATTTTACTGGTGCATGAAACAGATGGAGGGAAGGAGGGAAGGAGGGGGTGGGGGGGGGGCACAACATGAAGTCCTTCCGGCCATTCTGGCTTTGTTTGAAATCATTCATACCACAGCGAGTCCAAGACGGTGCACAGGCGGATGTTCTTCTCGGGAACTAATAAGTAAGTGCACAGATGCTCTTCCCACATCGACGGGCTCCATGAAATGCAGGAGAATTACGTCATATTCTCATGTGGTACAAACTGTCTGGATGGTGGTTGTGCCACCACATGGAGTTAAAAATAAAACATTACAATCACGACGCTCGCAGCAGGGCTTCAATGTCAATGTCAACAGTTGGTCCACTTTGGTGCATCCGCAAATATATCATAGTTGGCATTTAGTGAGTCAGTAGCATGAATATAGGCTCGTTGCATTCTATGTTAATAGTTTGAAAAAGGGTTTGATTTTGATTGCAATCATAGAACAATTGCAATCAATTTAATTTAAACTGATCTAAATAATTTGAATAATACAGCGGTTCATCTGATCCTGTTATTATTCAGACTACGATACCATTAACATGCATAATACCCAACCCCAGAATTTATTTCGGGCATAATTCAAATATATTCTCACTGTTTTGGTTCTCTTGGTCGAATTAGATTATGATTCATTGGTGCTGATTGGTTTAATTATGCACATTGTTCCTCTGCGTCGATGATTTCTTTGTCAGGGTTTGTCACCCAAGAGATTTTAAACTGTCGACCTGCCAAGTAAATCAGCAGTTTTGTTTGAAGGAACCCCCCAGTCTGGCTGAAGATGAGCACTGTGTTATGCTCAGAGCGCCGTGCTGGTCGCTGGACTTTTATTGAGCCGACAAAAGCTGCAAATTGGCTCAGAGTTGTTATTGTTTCTAGATTTTGTCTTTGTCTTGTAGTTGCCGGTCTCCTCCTTTGTCCATCGTGTTGTCGACATTAAAGAAAAGCCGTCAATTGCAGCTCCTTTGTAGTTCGGACGGTTAACTGCATAAACCTTGCAGGATGAAACATATTGGATCAAATACAATGTGACCATGGGATAAATATTTGTCTTTTCCGAGGAGGTAGGAATCAGAGCATTGTCTTTTGGGAGAATACTTCTGGTAAACTGGTGCGTACGTCTCTGTGCTCGGGACGTTGCCAGTTTTAATCATTCGTTGTTTGTTCAAGAACTTTTTCAAACGCAACTTGCAAGATCATATAAAGGAATGTCAAGGCTGTGATATTCTTTATGAAGAAAATGATGTTTAGACTTCTCAACTTATGAAGAACCGAGAATAGACTGTAGTATTTTCAAATACTTGAATTAAAAACAAACTACCTGAATTAATCCTGCGTTACAATATTGATAGACATTAATGAAGCATAAATATCTAAATCCTTATATGTATACATGCATGAATAACTCACCTCTAAATAAGTTAATAATATTTTAGGATTGTATTTCCTTTCTTTGAAGAGCCGTAGACGATTAATAAGATAATTTATAAATTCTAAGTAAATGATTAATAACTCATTTAGATTACTTAATTTAACTGTTTTCTATGAAACCAGAGGTTTATTTTGAAAAGACTTTGACATGTTCCCGGACTTTCATAGAAAAATAAAATTAAATGAGGAATAACCTTAAAACTTAAAACATTATACAAAATAATGTTCCAGATTTTATCAAGTATATTTGTTTCCTCTCTTAATGATTTCCTTTTTAAATTATGATTTTAAATACAAATGCATTGGGGTCATTGCGACCCCAGTCAAACCCCCCTAATTGCATCCCGGGCAATATAGGCATAATGGATCAAATAGAATAGATGCGGAAAATGTTTTCTGTTTTTCTTCAGATGACATTTAGAGAGTAATTCCATTAACATGTTGCTATGGTGGTTGTCCTCGTATGCTAAATGCGTTTGCAGGGTGGGGGGGGGGGGGGCATCGGTTACCCCGCAACAAACACACGGCTCACCTGTGGAAGACCTGAAGATGTTGCTTCTCTGAAATGCAACGTTCATCCTCAACGAACACCTGCAACCGCTTCACCACACCAGAGTTACACAAACATTACATCAGCGCTCCGGAGTAAAGACGATGACATTAGCTTTAATTTTCCTTTTCTAAAGCACCGATCATCAGCAGCTTCTCTCTTCAAGTGTCTTTGTTATAAATATCTGAGTTCATGTGTCTTAAAATTATGCTCACATTCCCACGTGTACATTAGAAGACTTATTGGCTGCTGTAATCATTCATCTTTTTGGCATCTGCGAAGCAGGGCTGTAATTATTTTGGATTTTTCACATGGTTGGTTGCAATGTTTTTTATTATTTAATCATGAAGGAAGATTGCATATTAGTTGTTTAACCGAGTATCCCGCCCCAACATTTCCCCTCCTTTACAAATGTTCTACTAGGAGCACTAACAAATGATCTGATACGAGTCAAACACATGAAGAGTATTTTCCAGTGTTACAGTCTCCTTGCTGTGAAATCCACTATTATATTAATAGACGGACCTGAGAAATCGGAACATTTCCTTCAAACTCATCATTCCATCTGTGCCTTCTTTACGTTATATAATATGGACTGTAGCGCCTCTTGGTCTCACATTGTTGAATTGTATTATCAGAACAAAACACAGTACAACTGGAAGCTGACCTCAGTGAAAAGAGAGTTCATGAAACCCCCCCCAGGCGGTGCCTGTTGTTGGTGAAACATCGAGCTCAGAAATGTGAAAACCAAAAAAGCGTAACGTCACATCCCGAATGAAACCCTGTTGGTTATTTGCAAACCTCGCTGTGCCTTCAGAGTGATCATCAACGAGAAAGCCTCCGTCTCCGCAGCCAACTCACTAATAGAATGAGCTGTTTTTCCATGTGTGGATTTTGTTGATTAAAGCGACTGTAAAAACCAACTCGCAATAATGACTTTATTCTCATGTCGAGGAGTTTTACTCCGAACGGGCCTCCAGCACGTTTAGTAAATGATCTTTGCCCATTCCGCGCCTCTCTGAAACTGTAATGAGACAGGCAGGGACATTATCTTGATTAAAATCAATCCCCATTGGGTTTACACTGTGCTGCATTCCCTCGCTCGGCTGCACTGATTAGAATACAGCACAGGAACCCGGAGTGAGAGGACTCATCAAAGCGCTACATGTAGACACATGGATAACTTGACAGACGATCCCCGGGCTCCTCCGCACCGTCCATTACCGTCTCCATGCAGGAGACATGCTGCTGTCATTATTCGCCATGTTTTACATTCTATTGAACTAATGCTCTGGCGTTTCTTCATTGAATACAGCATGAACTGCTAGGAGTCCATTGTCAATACATGGAGAACCTAGTGGTATAATGTATATTTTATTAGCTGTGATGTGCTATTCAATGAAAAAAGGCTTTGCAAAACTGTCCATATAACAAAAGGCAAGGAAAGGAGGAACAAGGAAAGGAGAAAAGGAAAAAGCAATGTTTGGTGAAGGAAACAGAGAGGAGAGAAAGATGACGGTGGGGAGGATACCAAGAAAAGTACAACTGGTGGTGAAATGAAGGCTTCGCCAAGAATGAGCAAGAGGAAAGAGAGCAGCTTTTGAAAAAAAAGGAAAGAGGGGAAGGCAGCCGAGGAAGGAGTGAAGGGAGCGAACTCTCATTTTCACGTCGTCGCTTCTTTTGTGCAGGATCTCCGCGCCGCGCGAGGGTCGTTTAGTAAACTCGTGCAGGTGGGCGGCATTCTTCACCACAGTTGAGATTCACCGTTCCGCCCGTAACCCCCCTCCGGGGGGCCCTTCAGGGGGGGGGGGGGGGGCATCAGTTGGCGCGAGAGAGGACGCGCGTCGCCGCAACCGAGTCCGCAGACGGGCGAACCCCGACCGGCACCCACGGCTACAACCGAAAGAAACCCTTCCACCGAGGACCATGGAGAGCGCCAACAACCTGAGCCAGCTCCCGGTGCTGCGCAACGACAGCGGCCGCTTCTGCGGGAACTTCACCGACGGCCACAACGTCAGCGCGGGCTTCGCGGAGGCGCAATGCGACGGCAATCGCGGTGTGACCGGCATCATGGAGGTCGACGCCAACCCGGTGATCATAGCGATCGTTATCACCGCTCTCTACTCCCTCGTGTGCGTGGTGGGGCTGGTGGGAAACGTGCTCGTCATGTACATCATCGTCAGGTGAGACCGCGTGGCACTTTTACGCTTAGTAACTGTGCGTGAGGAAGAACTCTACGGCGACCTGTTGCTGTCTTGCCGTATTAGTCGTACTGTAGGTACACAAAAGTGTGCGTGTGCGCGTGAGACCATGTGAATGCTGTGTTTAGAAGGCTGCCAGCTCGGCTCGCCGTTCGTGCGTAAAATGCCTCCGAGCCTCGCGGCGAAGTTTCTCCGGCGCGCGCAAAAGAAGAAATAAAAAAGAGGCTGCCACGTGAGGGAATGGGGACGAAATGTGTTTTAAGCAACAACAGAGGAATAATTCATGTTCCCAGTCTACTGGTCACACTGGTGTGGTAAACAAACCGCGGCACAACAGCATCACGCACAATGAATCCGGGCAGATGCTGCTCGTCTTCAGTGCCTTGTTTGGGGCTTTGGTTATTCTACTCAGATGGGAGTTTTCACCTTTGGTCTTGCTTTAGACTCAACTATAAAATGACTGGTTTGTACGAAAGACCAGTATATTGGTAACTTTGAGTGCTATTCTATCATAATAACTTAAAAGAAGTTCCAACATGTCGTTCCTCTCAGGCCAATTTCAAGATGAATCGTGTCGACATCTCATTAATAGATGTTCAAAGTGTTTTAAAAAAATGTCAAGCAAGAGCTCATTACGGGAAGGGGTTTTATTCTCTTTAATAACCTGTCATAAGAAGTAAGAGATAATAATACATGATCAGTGGTGCACACATAAAATCACTGGCCAATTTCTTTCTGCTGATCTCAGTCCTTTTACAAACTACATTAACCTTAAGAAGCAAATTGACTAAAAACGCTTGCAGGTGGAAATAACTGAGGAAGGTCTCACATAATCTATACGTTTCTATATATAGTTTTGTGTTGAATTAAGATACATTTACATCCACCCAAAGCAGCACTATCGGGCTAATAACATCAGCTGAGGTAGATTTCACCGATGGTGCATTCAATTACACATGAAAATCGTCCATTTATATGGATTCCGTCCTCCAGAAGCTACGTAATTCTACAGGAGCATCTTCCAGCTGATGGGAGGAAGAGAAGGAGGACAAAGAAGGTGAGCGACGAACTTAGAAAAGAGCTGAACTCCAGTGGAGGAGAGAGATTGACGGTGAGCACTGAGGGGGCTGAGGAGGCCCAAGATGAAAGAGAGATTGGTCCACCTTCTCCCCCGTCCTTGTAATTTGCCTTTTTGGAGGTGTGATATAACCAGTGAAGTGGTTCCCTGAACTCAACCTGTCAGACAGCTGCTTCAATGGCTTTGAAATTAAAATGACACCAATTATAAATCTCTGTTAAAAGGAGGGAAGACATTCGGTTTACATCTCCATTGCTGCTGTAATAAACCATCTTTACTTTGCTACAGCTATTATTCTAATAACCTCTAAGAACATACACAATGCAGCATTGAGGAAATTCTCCTTTGCCAGACTGCACACATCATCCCCTTCAGTCTGAGTGCTCCCCAAAATAGTTCTGTTTTGATAAAAATGCAGACGTGAATGCAATAAGTTTTCCGCATCTGTGCCAAATGCTCTCTGCCTAAAATGAGTAACAGCAAATCTGCCCCGTCGGGATGGAAAGTATTAGAACACATTTCTCAAGTACAAGCACTGTTGCTTTAAATAGATTTTACTGAGGTAAAAGCAAAATCACTTGTGTAAAGATAGTGTAGTAGTGTTGTCATTTTAAAGAGGGTATATGAGGACGATGTTATATGATTGAACTATTCAATTGGAAACCACTTTAATGCTACAATATAAAAGGCAAATTATAGATTTAGATAATGGGATTATGGCTAATGGGCTTATAAATTTGAATGACCACAGACCACTAATGTCTAAACAAGCATTACAGTCCTTTTCCGTAAACCAACATTTGCAGCCTGTGAATGCAACTTCTTAATGTTTAATATACAACCACTTCCCTCATTGTGGCTTCTGTAGAATTAACCACAAATTAGGATAAAAATCAATTCAAATCACCACTGCTTTGGAGAGCTAGAATCAACGGGAAATGAAAGTAGCTTAGAATATCCGAATAACAGCAGCATAAAGAAGTTTAGACAGTACGGACCCCACAAACAAACCTGTGAAGTTTTTGCATGCTGCGTGTTCGGCACAAACACAACTCTGCCAAGCAACACACTTTCTCTGAGTTTATAATATATATTCAGTTTCTCTGCGTCTGAACCGGTCCACCAGGCCTCTCCGTCCCACTGGGCCCTTCAAGTTTTAGAAATAAACCTTTTAGGATGAATTTTTGCTCAACTTTCACAACGTTGACCGGAATTGTGAAAAAAGCGTGTACGGGTGTGTTTGATTTGGGTCTCTCCTCACCGGGTGGTGCAACAAATCATTGATTAAGTATTGAGGAGCCCGTGCTTTCTTTACCTATGCTAATCTCATTTACAATGCCAGTGATGCGGGTCAGTGCAGGGTCAACTCTCCGGTTAAGGAGCTCGCTGCCCTTCGGGGTTCAGATGGAAAGCTGATTATTTTTCTGCTGCATTTCTTAATCTGTAATAAATAACACTCGAAATGTAGCAAACACTGCAATGCAACTCAAAATATAGATTTTTAAAAAATACTTATAAAACAACCACTTTAATATATTTGGGTTTTAAATGTTGTGAAATATGTCCACTACGGTGAAGTGGAGTGAGAGCAGCGGGCAAACAGAAGTGAAACACGCTTTAGAAGTATAAATTATGCACCAGCATCATTTTAAGGATTGAATTTATGTCTCCGGCTGTCTGGCAGAGGTACAATAGTGCTCATGATGTATGAGTTGGTATACAATCGTGCATGATGTATTCCAGAGTAGTTTTTCAACAAAGCAGATGATAGATGCGAGGGACAAAACTTGAACTCGAGCTCTCTCATCCTAGACTGTTTTGTTTGAACCGATTAAAGGCCAACATTTACGTGCCTCTTCTCAACAGTGATGGAATGGTACTGACTCAACCAGCAGTGCGTGTGTGTGTGTGTGTGTGTGCAGGCATTCATGGAAGTTGTGGATTTTAGATCAAGGCATAAGAAAGAAAACTATAAAATTATAAAACCAGCTTAAAAACTTGGAAAATAAAGTTTTACAGCGAATATTTACTGTAAATGGAAGTCGTGAACTCTCACTCTACAGTCGTGGCCTTGAATGCACTGAGTAGTCAGCACTGTCACCTCACAGCAAGAAGGTCCGACCTTTCTGTGTGGAGTCCGGGTACTCCGGCTTCCTCCCCCCCGTCCAAAGACATGCGTTGGGGAGCAGGTTGATTGGTGACTCTAAAGTCGCCCGCAGGTGTGTGAATGGTTGTTTGCGACCCTGTTTGAAGGATAAGCGGCTTCGAATATGGATGGATGGCAACACTAGAGAGGGGGGGGATGAGGGGTGCCTGATCCCTCACCTGACACTAACCCCGCAGCCATCGAGCGCGTCGGTTCAACGTGCACCTACTGACGTCCACCTGCGTGAGCAAGCAAACATGAGCAAAAGATCCGCACGCTCAATCGGAAATATCGGTTGCAAACTGCTGGGCTCCACAAGGACTCTCAGTTCAGAGTGCTTCCTGTTACCATGGAAACACTGGGAGGCGTTTTGCAAAAATTACTTCAACCCCTCCTCAACCCCCCCCCACATGCCTCGATACACCATCCGGCAGCTTTGGCCACATCCAGCGCCCGAAGCTGAATTCTGCGCCGGCAGGCAGTAAATGGGTGCAAGTACCACGTGTAGCAGCACAATAAAATGTGAACTTTAAAGGTTCCATTACCCCTCCAGAAATCTCCCACCAGCCGGCTCTGTGATGCTAGAGTAACTTCCAAACATCTGTGCCCGAACCCGGTCACATGACATACGATGTTATGATGAGCGTCAAAGGCAATGGGCTCCGCGGGGCTGATTCCCACTAACGCTTCACCTCTAATGGTTTCTGTTGTCATCCGAGTCCCGACGTGACAAATGTGTCTCAGGCTGAGTTCCAAACAACTGAACCCAAGTCTTTTGATGTGCTGTCGACAGTCAGGTTAATGACCTGCAATAAATCCTGCACAGGAACATCCTGTGAAACAATAGTGACATCCACATATTTACTGTACAGAGTTCTGAGGGGGATAAAACCTTTGGTAGAACATTAATGCCTTTTGAGGTTAACAGTCAAAGGAAAAGGCTTATATATAACAGACTAAAACTAAAGATGTATACTTTTATAATTGAGACCATCTTGAGCATCTTCACAATGCATCATCACTCACATTGATGCGCTTTACAAAGATATTTCTTTGAGGCCATTAGGGACGATTTTAGCGAAAAACTAAATGCTTATCTGTTATTTTTGTTGACAGGCTACCAAAACTAACCTTAAATCAGCCCCACTTGCAAAAACAAAGAGCCAAACTGTTTTTAAATTCCTAGAGGTTTACACACTTACTACCGATTACAATTAACATGGAGTTTGTTGAATGGCTTGTCCATATGCAGAAACTTTCTTTTCATTGCATAAAAACCAACCCGGCTCTTTGATGACAGCGTTTTAAAACTATCCTTTTTGTATTCACATCAACATGCATGCAAAAGGTACGTAATTGTGCAGACATTGAGGCTGACACACGCCGAGGCCTGTTGGTTTCTTTTAGGTAAACACAAAGGAGTTGTGAAGATAAGCAGCCCTGAGCTGGAATTCCTTCCTGGACGCTCACGGCGTCCGTCTCCTTCCGCCGCGCAGTAATGAACCTGCAGCCGTCCCGGATTTCTGTCGCAATAACCAGTGGACGGCTCGTTAAAAGCGACCGAGTTCATGATGCAGTTTACTTGCTTTTAGAGCACTGACTCTGGGCGTAAAATAACTTCTGATGATCACATAATGGAGAGGAAATGTTTGACCTGAGCATCCAGCAGAAAGAAAAGAGTTTGACAGCTCAGTGAGAGACTGAGGAGAGGAGAGTATTCTGCATGGAACGCCTTCTGAATTCCTCCCTCACAGTCGGGTGGAACAAAGTCTTCATTTCTAGTTGGGTGACAATTATGAGTAGCAAGTGTAGAGAGGTGATTAGCCTGTGTGTGTGTGTGTGTGTGTGTAACGCCACTGGACAGTGCCGGGGAACTAGAGCCCTGTCAGTCTGGATTTAACAGGAAGTCTTTTGTCTTATGTTCTTTTTACTGGATTCAACAGAGACCTAGAAAGACCACATCCCTCATTCGTGACCAGTTTCATTAAGGTTGCTGTGGATGCTTAGGAACACGGGTCAAATCTAAAAAGGTATTTATCTGAGGGAGTTCGAGACGACACGAAAGGAACGATGATTAACCAAAGTCGAGGGAACAAAAGACAGATTCTGTGTGTTTTCTCTGCTTGATGATTTATGGGTGCTCACGGCTCTTTTATCCATCTGTCAATCACAGCGTGAATCACCCTCTTACCCCCATTCTGCTCTTCATACTCCATGACAGGTATGGGTAAACATGTCCTCCGTCATGGACGCTGGCATTTCAAGGCTCCAGAGGGTGACGCAGATTTTTCTCTGCATAGTTTGGACAATGTTGTTGGCTAAATTTGGTTTTCCGTTTCCTTTTCTCGTATTTCGAGTGATGGAAATAACAACAAACTGGGCAGTAATTTTCAAATGAGCAGAGCGCTAAGCAACGGTGGCTGGATTGTGATTGTGCCTTGTTAGACCAATTTTCCCATTTGGGAGCCGTTTGAAGTGTTTTTCATTCTAGATTCAAGCAGCTCGTAACAGAGCCAAGTTCCTCGAGTGTTTTTTCTAACTCCTACTGAGGGCAAAACACGTTCAGAGCAACCACAATCTGATCACAATTTCAACTATCTCAATGGGCTGTTTTTGATGTTTTAGTTTGTATAATACAAATTGCACTTACGTAATTGTGTATGGATTTAGTTGACTAGTTGCAAGCAGTGCAATACGTTGCAACTTTCCCAAAAAGCTGAGGTATTTCTGGCTGAGAGGACGAGTGTCACCACACCCTCCTCTTCCTCCTTCACTCCAGCAGACATTTTAGCACGGAGGAAAATAACAAGTGTGCTTGGTTACTTTCGTTATCAAAGTCATCAGTTGTTAAATATTCTATTTTTCTCTTCATCAAATTTGGAAACCAAGTGTTCAAGGTTGAGAGTTTCTATGACAACACAGTTCCTATGACGGAAGCCTCAAAGTGTTTCTACTTCATTGTGTGCTTTTAGTAAAGTATTGAGCCATGTTTTGGCCTAAAATTCAAGGTATTTCTGCCTCATTTTAGAAATACTGCCTTTCATCATTACTATCTTCTTCTCCTTTGAGCCGATTTATATTTTGCGTGTCGGCCCTTTGAAGCTTAGAGTGTCGTCGCGATGCATTTCAGACATCTCTAAGAGCCTTTCTATCACTGTCAAAGTGCCACATCTCCACCAATTTGCCACGGCCTCCGACATTGCGTTAGGAGCCATTTACCGACATTCAAAGCCGCTGCATATTCCTAGCGGTGTCTAATGACTTCCATTGATTGAGGTGAAAAAATACAACATTTTGGATTTGCTTCAATGGAAACGCTGTTTGCAAACACATTAACGCTAATGAATCTAAAAGTATCCTCTTGCATTTGGATTCTATATTAAATTATTTGCTGGCACTATTCTATCGAGCATTTCAACAATTTATTCAACATCAAGTGCCAAATAAAGAATACAACACGATGTACCCTTTAAGTCATCCCGACCTTTTCTGTCCTCACATTGAATTGAACTTGATTGAATTGAACTATTTTTATTCACGCTGACAACGGGGCTTTTTGCATTGCAACGTCGGTCCTCTTCTTTGGTTGTGACTGACTGAATACTTCTAAAACTATTGGAAGGATCGAACTGTAATTCAGTACAGACCTTGTTCGTGGTCCCAGATGATGACATCACTGACGCTGATGAATCCCCTTTATTTTTATCTATATGTCTAGTTCCATCTGGTTTCTCTTCGCCTATTAGAATTATATTATGAATATTGACATATCATTGTACGATGTGATTATAGCCTATACATATATATATATATATATATATACACATCAAGATAACACAGGGTGGTAGACGCCATGGTGGGTTATTTTTTTGAATTCGACACCATCATTGCGTACAAACAAATGCACGACACTAAGACACGCGCACACAGTCGTGCTCCATCCATCAAGCCCCCCAACAGAGCTAATGCTCAGAGCCCGGGGCATCCAGATGTTTGTTCTCACGAGCAGCCTCTGTTCCGGCACCCAGGCCCTAATGGTTTATCTGCAGCCAGCAGGAGCCCATGAATTACACGCAGGGCTCCACCTGCACCGGCACCGCATCACAGACCCGCGGTGAATTATGTTCGCCTCGCCGTGTGACCGCTGCCGTGAAAAAAAGATGGAACAGCGAGCTGCTTCAATCTGTTGACCTGAAGTGAGCGGGTTTCTTTTTGACATTTGTTGAAATATAGTAAGTCTGTTCCAAATAAAGATAAACAAAGCTCACACTGGTGTTCATGGGGTCCTGCTATAGTCTGTAAATATCATTCTTTTTCGGACCCTGCTGTTGCCATGGTGAAGCACATCCATGTTTTTTCACTCCAGCCGCGTCCCATGTGGGTTGACTTCAGTCTAAAGTGTTTCTGTATCGAACTCGAGTGTGTTCGTACTGGGTATTTGATTTACCGAAAAGCATCAGCCAATCCGAGTCTATTCAAAACAGTAGATGGGTTTTCAGTTATTTAGTGTTATTTACACATTACCCAAAACTCCGCCATTGGGTTAATGGGTCTTAAACAATTATTATAGCCTAATATAGCGTTATTTAATGCAAAGGAAAGAAAAGAAAGGATTAAAATATATGGAAAATAAAACCAATGGTTTGCCAAACCATTTCCTTATCCGACTTTCCACAGGGATCACTTACTAACATCACCAAATCAGGTTTCGGTTTCTGATTTAAGCATAAATAAAGATGCATGAGGAACAGAGGGAATGATAAGGCATCTCACTGCCCGAGGTGGGACTCGCGGCTAATGGGTTTATGGAAGGCTATGCATACATGATCTCACTGAAAGGACTGTTTCTCATGGTTTTAAGGTCCATTACTGCACATCTATCGGCCACCTCCGTGCTTCAGTGGTCCAGGAAACCACCGAATCAAGGTCGTTTTTGAGCAGATTCCTGTTAAGTGCAGTTTAGTCACTTATGTCGTCTGTCTCTATGGCTTCACTGTCAAGTTGCTCACAGGACTGTAAACAATGAGCAGCGTGCAGCAAAGGAAGTCAGTGGCCCAGATATTCCTCTGCCATCAGACCTAAAGTCAATTGCGCACCCGCCATCCAGGTATGTTTGGCCGCTCATTTTAGTATTTTGTATTTAACAGAAAATCAGGGTCAGTCTTATTCATTTAAATGCATTGGATATCTAAATACTGCGCTGTGATACAAAACGTTTCTGTTGGCTAGTTTCACTATCAGAAGGGGCAGTCCAGTAGAATTCGGGCGGAGGACCTCTGTTTATTGTTCATTGTGCTTTGCACACAATGTGTATTGTTGGAAAAGTTGCCTGTAACACAATATAAAAACAATAATCTTAACAAAAAGTGCCTCTTTAACTATTCATTTCCACTAAATATTTAATTCCACTGTATATTTTTAAATACATCATGTTTCAGAACAGGATAAAGAAATATATTTATATATATATTATGTAATCGGAGCGTTTTGAAACAGTGGGTGATCTAGGTGAAGCTGAAAACAGTGTTAATTAATCAGCTTTTGATTAGGCCATTCAATGTCGATATGAGCTTCAGACAGGCGCTGTTGTTAGGATGTTGGAAATTACCTGTGCAGGGTGACGGCTTTCACTGCAGCTCACGGTGTCTCGGCCCCCGAAGCCTGAAATAACAAACACACTAATCTACCACAGTCAGAGGTAATCAAAATTTAATGAACTCACTCATCTGCGGTTAATAGGATTTGGGATTATTGAGGCGAGTGCTCCGATATGAAATATTATTGTCACATTGTCCATCCAGATTACTCTAAAGATATTACCGCATTATTGAACATGTAACTTTTCCCCAAACCTGTTGATATTGTGATACTGGTTGGTAGAGCTGGTCGTGTGAGCCTAATCAATCTTGGAATATTATGATATTGGGATTAATTGTGGTGTGTTTCTATAACCTCAAGGAATCTGGGACTTTACTCCTGTTGACGGATTATTTTAAAACTGATTAAACGGTTCGGCGGTTGCTATTTCAAAACGAGCCTGAATAATTCACAGAACATCGTGGGGATACAGTATATCCGGCTCACGAGGCCCATTCCGCTATGATTGCAACACACACGCAGTAGCATCCAAGTTCTGCGACTGTTGCTCAAAAGGAAGGTGTTTATTCACTGAGGCCTTTCTTGTGCAGGAAGAACAACACATTGCAATCATTTGTTGGCATTCAACTTGCGTCCTTGTAGTGCCATCTTCTTTATGTAGGTCTTTATTGCTACTTTCTGGATAATTTCCAGGTTGTTTTGGGCGCTGCTCCAGTGGCTCAGGAGCCATAACATTAAGGGACTTTAATACTTTACTGGTGGATGTGATATTTTCACACCACTGTGTTTTTATTTCTAGTTTGGGAGGTATAAGAGAGGAGTCCTCCCTCTATAAACTTTATCTTAAATTAAATTTGAAAAATACTTACATCAGTTAAGTAGCAGTCATATCCATACGAAGCAGCGTTGACTCAAAATGAAACTGATAAATTACTGCAGAGTAATTTAGATTTTAGTAATAAAGAGACACAGAAGATGCCAAAAGACTCCCAGCGACCACTCAGAGAAAAAACTACAAAAAGACTAATTGAGTCGATCTGGGTCTCGTTCCTAGGGAGGAGCAACTGGTGTCTCCTAACAAATCCATGGTTTCTGTGCAGATACACTAAAATGAAGACCGCCACCAACATCTACATCTTCAACCTCGCCTTTGCTGACGCCTTGGTCACCAGCACGCTGCCGTTCCAGAGCGTCAACTACCTGATGGGGACCTGGCCGTTTGGGGACATAGTGTGCAAGATCGTGATGTCCATCGACTACTACAACATGTTCACCTCCATCTTCACGCTGACCACCATGAGCATCGACCGCTACGTCGCCGTGTGCCATCCGGTCAAAGCGCTGGACTTCAGGACGCCGCGTAACGCCAAAATCGTCAACGTCTGCAACTGGATCCTGTCCTCGGCCATCGGGCTGCCTGTGATGTTCCTGGCCTCCGCCGCCGTCACTCGTAAGTATGTGCACACGTGAGAGGCCTCTTCTTAGTCAGAGCCTGATGTATAATTCCATACGCCGCGTACAGAAGAAGGTTAGAATTGGCTTCGGAGAAATTTTCTTGAAGCTAATCCCAACGTTTCCAAACGAAAAATAATCAAATAGAGCAATCATGTAAAAATACTGCATCCATGTAGCAAACACGCATGTCGGCGTCCTTGGTGAGCTCGATGAGTTCTACAAGGTCTTGCTAGAAATCTAAGCACCAAACAGGAAGAAAACTAATTGAGTCCGTTCACTGCATTCCAGTTATAAAGAGCAATTGTGGACTCGAGCAGGCTCTATAAAAAAGCAGTTGCTTCGTTTTTTCGTTCTGTGTTGTTGCACCAAATAACCATTTAAGTGCTACAAGCTTCGGTGGTGACTAATAGAACCGACTGCACAGATCGCAGAGAGAAATCCAACAATGAAAATGCGGTAATAAGAGATTTATTTACTATATATCAGACATGACGTTAATATTTGTTTCATTAGAGATTCGTCACAGTAGAGAGAAGACAGAAAAGATGGTAGTCACCATTCACTATTTATTATGTAACTACTGAAAGCAATTATATTAGTTGAAATTCTGAATACAGTTTGTTCAAGGTTATGAATCGGATGAAGTTTAAAAGAATCTAAAAACGTGAAAATAAGCAAAAAGAGAAATATCCCTTGAGGAAGTAATGAATAGCTGCATCTGTATTTACTTGCTAACATATCTGCCCCCCCCCCCCTTCTCCACAGCCTCCAGCAGTGTTGACTGCATGCTAATATTCCCCCACCCCTCCTGGTACTGGGACACCCTGCTGAAGATCTGCGTGTTCATCTTCGCCTTCATCATGCCCGTCCTCATCATCTGCGTCTGCTACGGCCTCATGATCCTGCGGCTGAAGAGCGTTCGCATGCTGTCGGGGTCACAGGTCACGACAGATTTCTACTCCTTTAACGAACTTCTGCAAACGAAGCGAGTCATTCTGTGCTGTTGTTTTTGTGCCGTATGATTTTATTTGGATCCGAATGTAGATTTTAGAATTCAAGCTGAAGGGATTCGAGAAACCTCAGGCGTACGGGTCGGCCGGCCATATTTACACAATAACTAATTGCTTCATCTCACAGAGTAATGAAGCAAAATACAAAGCTGCCCAGAGCTCGCATGCAAATGCAAACGCACTCACTGCTCTCGGGAGGAAGCAATTAGGGAAAAACAACTTAAGCCCGAGGTTTGGGCTTAATTCATGGCAGTGATGCACAAAGAGGAATGTTTTTAAGAAAATATACTAAACGCTGGCTTAAAAACATGTGCGTATGCTAATGAACGTGTGTTCATTTACAGTTCATAAATATGGGACATCAAAGTGGTTACAGACACGAAATGTTCCTGCTCATTTAAAGCGCTTTTCTTTTTTTCCCTCCTCTGTCTTTTGATTCTCTCCCGTCGTATTGATTTAGTGTCTCTAACACTAAACCTTCCGAGCTTCTTCACTCACACAGGAGAAGGACAGGAACCTGCGCCGAATCACCCGCATGGTTCTGGTGGTGGTGGCCGTCTTCATCGTGTGCTGGACCCCGATCCACATCTTCGTCATCATCACAGCTTTGATCAATATCCCCAACTCGTCGCTGCAGACTATCACCTGGCACTTCTGCATCGCCCTGGGATACACCAACAGGTTTGCAAGGCGCATCGTCCTCAGACAAATACATTTACCGCCCCATTGAAACTGTTTGTCGTAATGTTTCAGGCGGAGGTACAATACAAAGTGTTGGTGATAAGAACGTTCTACAGTTTAGATCAAATGCTATTGATTCTTTTTTGGGTAGTTTAGATTTGCGGATTTTTGCATTATACTGCAAATAACCGAAATATTACAGTGCAGCTTTTTAACCATTACCTTGTTTTTTGCCTCCTGCAGCAGTCTGAACCCGCTTCTTTACGGCTACCTGGACGAGAACTTCAAGCGTTGTTTCCGTGAGTTCTGCACCCCGAGTCCCTCTGCGCTGGAGATGCAGAACTCGTCTCGGACCGGCGTGACGAGCCGCAAGCTCCCACAGCGCGAACACAACAGCGCCAACACAGCAGACCGGTCCAATCAACAGGTAGCTGCTGTCTGTGTACCACTACGTGTATCTTGGGATGAATTGATTAAGACGTTTGGACAGACACTTGTTTGCAAAGCGATGCTAGGCTAAAAATATAGCTTCAAATTTTTCCCGGTCAGACGTTACATTGGTATCAATCTGCATCGAAGGTGTCTTTGAACAGCGTTCACGAAGGTCTAAATATAAGTACAATGCAAATAAATAACATCCTCTTCTTTAAACTCCTCCCTTCAGGTATGACTAGCCTTGGAGGGGTCGTCGGTGGACTCTCACTGTTGCGGCGGCGTTTCCAACGACGATTTCAGCTCGGAGGTCACGCAGGTCACCACGGGGCTCTGACCGCACAGACGCAAATGACACATGCATAAAAAAAGAGGCGTGACGGAGACTTGATGTCACACAGCATTTAAACTGCAGCACTGCGTCAGTACCAACTGCATTGAGGCTTTTGCTATGAAACAGATCCAGAAATGGGTCAAGATCCCAAAGACTCCAAACCTTGATTACAAGACTGCTTCTAATTTAAGAAGCTTCCGCACAAAATTGGGCATCAAGGCTATTACCACTTAGTTTTCATTATAATTATCACTATAACAATAAAGAGTGCACTAAACAAAGACTAGTGTATAGAAAAATCAATAAAAGGCACCTAAAAAATCCACTTTTATAATGCTGTTTTGTTCCGTTTGCTCTTAATAAAGCTGCCACATTGATCTTAGCCTCAGCTGTAATTCTCTAGACTGTAAAAAAAACAATTAATGATCCTATTTGCAATGATTCCAATGTCCCTTTTTCCAGCAGAAATGTTGTTTTCAAATTGTTTACACTAGTAAAATGACGGCGTCAGAGACGGTAACGGGTCTGTAATTTGATTTTGGACTTCCGAATGCCCGAAGCCTCAATGGCTCTCTGACCACATCAAGACATCTGTGGACAGGAGGCGTCATGCCAAGACACTCACAGAACAAATCGGGCTTCTGATCCAACTTCTCTATTGGATTTCAGCCTATCGGCACCATTCTCCTTATATTGAGTTGGCTTTGGTCTCTGCAAGAAGGCTGAGTGCACTGACACACGGGCTCTCTCCTCCCCACCAGTCTTTTGTTGTCATTTACTCCCCCTTCCAGCCTCCAGCCTCCCCTTTCATCGTGTCTCTCTAGAAAAGTGTTTACCCTTTTACTGGACTTGTCGCAATGTAGACAAGCAGTGGAGCACCCCGTGCCCTTCTCTCTGCAGAATTTAACAAACTTCTGATTGTCACACTGGATGCTTGTGCCGAGGTGTGGAGGCTCTGGAACAGCAAACAGGATGCATCGGCCGCTTGGAGCCTTCTTTTTGTGGCACATAGTGGGACGTACGGTGCTACAGGCACGTGGTGAAGCTTAACAGCCAAAACAGCAGTTGTGGTCTTTCACAAAGTCTCCTCTCGTCTGAGCAGGATTGTAACTCTGTGGTAACCGTTAGAATCGCTTGTGCTTACGTGTCGTGCTGTATGCTGCACTTGCAAGTTGCCTTTACAGAAGCTCTACTCGATATTCTGCGTACCAGTATCTTTTTGTACGGTGTTTACGGTTGAACATGATTGTATTGATCTCCCATGTAAAATAGAGTAAGTATTCTGTTGCTTTTTTTGAATGAACGGGAAATCATAATAATCCAAAAATGATCTCTAAAACATGGTGCACCAGTTATTGTGCTTCTGAAAGTAACTTTTATCGTCTTGATTCTGCCTTGTTTGCTGAAGAGTTGCATATTAATGCATTATAACATTGCTGTGTGTAAAATCTTAAATTATTGGGACTTCAACTGGGGGTTTTTGTACATACAAACATATTTCTATCCGCTAATAAGTATAGCAGATTGATACACATTTTTAAAGAATATAAAGTAGACTTTTCTTATTTTCAGTCTTTCAAGTTCTCCAAACCCGCAACAGAAAAGTCTGTAAACATGTGGCCACATCGGGACCAAAAGAAGCATCCTTCTGTGTTTTGAAATGCTGTAGGCTGTGATAAGTGGGTAAGTGCTTGTGACTGAGCAACAGAAGCCCTCACGCTTTGTGCTCTGGTCTTCTTGTGGTCTTAGAGGAGGCGTTACGCTAAATCGCCGAGCATCACCTGCAGGCCTCTAATGAAAAATATGTTCTGTGAAAAGTGGTGAAAGAACAGTTCAGCGGTCTGAATCCACGATTCGTCGAATTGTTTCACGTCTTCTCAGATATTTCAGACCTTAAACTCCTTTTAACACAAGTAAAAAGCACACAGTTTGGATAATTCAGCCGCTGAACTGGTTTTTCTGAGGAGGAAAAAATGTTTTCAATCCCATACACGTAATGCTAGCAAGTCCACCGATGCTTGATTTTGTTTTTCCAAGAATCATCAACGCAGAGTCTCAGTGCAAAAATCTAAAATAGATTAAAAATTTAGATAAAAGCCTGCTTTTATCTAAATTCATTTCTTATTGAGCACAAGCTACAAAGTCTTAGCAACGATCACTGTAGCATTTATAAAACATATTCATCTACCATTAAATCTAAAAAAATCAAACAAATACTCAAGAACAATTGGCCTTGATACAAAGTTTACATATATTTACATGAAATGTATTTAACAATGTCCATGATCAGTACGCGTGCCACCACTGAATAATCCTTTTATTCCTCCGCTTGCCTCCATAACTCACATCATGACTTGTAAATGTCATCCAATGTAATATTAAGACACTTTATGTACAACAATCTGTAACATGATGCATATATAAAAGTTGTTATTCATGTGTATGGAATAAAATGTACTTCTGAATCTCAACAAACGCCTTTTTTCTTGCACTTGATAAAAGTATGTCTTCCTTTCCCAACTTGAAACTCAACACAGCTTTCCTTCTAAAATCAGAGATTGGTGGTCCAAATAACAAGCAATAAAAAGCGAATCATTCGTTGAAAGCATTTCTTTGCTTCTCGTGTCGCGGATTAGCTTCACTGTGCTTTTCACTCCCTTGTGATTGTCTGGTTTGTCCCTTCATGTCTCCACCTGTGTCCAATCACCTGAATCTTCCCTGTGTGTTTTATTTTTGTGTGTTCTTTGTCTCGTTGTCGATTTGTCTGCTGTTTCAACTCTACCCGGTCCTATCTGCATTCTGGCATTTTCCTTATCGAATCTGATTTCATTTGAACATTTAGATGAATCCATAAATAAACTCTCTGGCAAACAAGTTTGTAATAATGAAACGTTTTGTTCTGCAAGACCATTTTCACAAATGAATTGTGAAAAATAGAATTTTTGGACACGCGCTGGACGTGTGGTCCCTACTGGGGACCACATGAAAGTAATCCTTGATTCTCTGATCGTTAAAAAGGGATTTCCAAACAAACTCTTAAAGTTTGAGTTGCTCTTGTAGAATTTAACTTCAGCAGATTCAACAGATTTCACCGTGAGGTCACCTGGGGACTGGATGTGCACGCATGCTTGAGCAGTGTTCACAGGAGGGCGTGTGCGCATCACCGAGCGTATGTCAGCGCACACGCCTTCCTCTCCATCCCCGTCGGACAGACGGGCGTCGCCTTATCGGAGTTGGCAGCATGATTGCTGCTGTCGCAGCGATTATTAACAAGTGCCGTTGAATGTCCCCTCTTTCTGCAGAGACAATGCTCCAATTCGGCGCGTGACATTGGTACGCTGATCGACCGATGCTAAGCTAATCAACCAAACCAAAGTTATATTACCGCAAAGCCTTTTTTTGTTTTATGAACTATGGCTAATTCATTTCCCCTGTAAGGAACATGCTGTTTGCAAGATGCACTTCAAGTGCATCTGTACTTACAGGAAATGTGATTCCTTCATTTGAGAAAATCACGCGGTGCTCCCAATCTTGCTTCATCTTTTAGGGCTTTAACCGGGAGCTTGACTGAACCTAGCAAGTACCAAGGGAGAAAATAATGAGTTTTAAGGTGGATATAGACACGATACCCAAGAAAGAGTGAGATTCTATGTTCAGAACTGGGCCAAATTGGATTTAAGCCCCGGCAGCGTTGACACCCCTGCAACTGAGCACGGCCACAGAGCAGCAGTTTCGTCGGGCTGTTTCACACCTTAGATGAATTGCTAACTGGATCCCATCATCCGACCGAGGGGAACATTGCATTTTGCCGGCGTGGTTCAGAGCGGATCAGGAGGTGATGCCGTCGAGATGTTGTGGGCGGAACGAAAGTCCTGCATGGTCCTGAGAAAACAGACAGGAAACAAGCCATGAAAACCCAGCAGTCAGTTGATCAAGGTAATGCATCAGTGAGCAAACGACCGCTGAGTCCTTCAAGGCCTCCAGTCACCACACGGCCACACAGCAAAAACCGGCAGTTTGAAAGTTGACCAATGAGCCTCCTCGGTTCGTCCTCCGTCTAACTAGCCGCCGCTGTAACGACCCCGCACGGTGCAGTTCCTTTTTACTTCTCCTCTCTATCTACCTCTAGCGCCTGGAAGTTTGGAATGGCTTCATCTCAGGCAGTTTGTTTAAATCACTGCGAGTATTGCTGACTGCATTTCTTACAACGGCATCATTCAGAGGGACTGTGGGTGACCGGAGCGATCCAGTCAGGCCACATCCATCCACCTGATTTCATTAGCTTTTCCTCCAGCTAGTGCTCTGCTGTTCCCGACTGTAAGGCTGGCTATCAAAGTTTGATGCTGCACCACTGACTATCATTTTATTATAAATGTAGACCCCCCCCCAAAAAAAAGTGACAAAAGACTACATCTACCTGTAAAAATGAAAATAACTAAAAAGGATTTACGCTGAATATGATCTAATGTCTCGTGCAAGGAATTAACTAATTATGGGGTGAAAATGAATGTTTATTATTGTTATTTATATTTTAAAAACAGTCAAACTACGTTGCGTATGAAAAATGTCATGGGACATAAAAAGTTTTTAAAAAATGAAAAAATCTGTAAGGTGGAAAAATGATTTTTAAAAATCGTGAAAAAAATTCAGGTACAAAAATATCACAAAAAAAATATCCCAAACCAATACTATTGCAGTAACACCACAGAATTTCCCAACTGTCTCTTTTCCCAATGATCAGAACATAATAACATTGGCCTCATGGTCATGGTAACAGAAATCACAGTCACACACAGAGAATGGAGATGATTTAAAATAGAAGCCTAACGAAACTGCACAACTCATTCGTCTCCTCTTCAATGTCATTTCTTCTCCTTAACAAGGAGATTTCCAAAGAATAATAACACACGTATATTTGCGTATTTACCATCATCCAGATGCAAACCATACACCTTTTCCTGTCTGCCTCCCTTATTGTGTGTGTAGTATCTCTTATACCGAGGGATTGGAGATTCTATTTTTTACCATAAAGACAGAAAGGTGTGCCTTGGAAAATAACAAAGGCTCCTCTGAGCACTTCGGCTTTTTCTCTTTAATGGCATCAGAACAACATAAAATTGTCCCTGAAGTTAATAAGGTGTCTTTTACCTCATTCCTTCTATGTGATCAGAAATGAAATGAAATTCTATCCCTGTAAATGGTGCAGTGTTCCTATCTTATCACGGTTATCCTTCACTTTCCTTGTGTGTTTGTCTCCTGAGCCGGTGAGCCATACAGACAATCAATATGAGCAGCAGTCCTCATGGGACCGAGCTGAAGGTGAAGCTCAGTGATGTGACCGTGTTTAAGATGGAAGATTTTTCTTTAGTTAAACTTCTTTTATCAAATTAAATGTCCAGCATTTACCATGTCGGCGGCAAAAACTCTGACTGCACTGATGTGCTTTTGATAGCAATACATTATCCCAGAAAGCTTTTATGATTCTCTCTGGATTTGTAGTTTCTATTCGTCGCTTTCCCACCATGACTGCTGAATGTTCAGGCAGATTTCCTCCTTGTGCCTTCCAAGGAGAGCTAGGAAAAAAAATGGTGTAAATGATTCAACATGGCTCTAGAGGGAGAAGAAGCAGTAATTTTCCTGTCAAACGGCAGCAAATTGTTACAACGTTTAAATTGATGAGGGTTTTATGTACCACATCTTGTTATGGTAGCCTGACTCAGTGGATGGTGTCTGCTGAGAACAGCCCTGATTCCTATTAGAAGGACTATTGCCCCCCCCCCCTCCCCTCTGGTTCTCCCTCCACGCCGCTGTTTCTAATAAGAAACAAGAAATGGCCTTTGCCTCAATACACTCGAGGGCACTTTTTTCTTACAATTTAATTTGAACATAGACACATTTATTAAAACTCTGTTTTTTTCATACTTTATCGAACAAAAAGTGCTGAAGAAAACAGGTTTTCCAAAGCTGTTTTTTATTTTGTCGCCTAATGACTAAAGGCATCAATCAACCAAGTTGTGTGTAACGGCTTGGATTTTTTGCATTATTAATGATATATTTACCCCAACCTGCTGAATCAAGGCATTCAGTATAGATCCTATGTTATGTCTGGAACATAGTGTTATGTGTTAATGGCTAGCCTGGTCAGCAAAAACCTGACAGGAGAACATTTAGCTGGTCCAATTATGAAACAAGTTGCCAAACAGCATCCTTAATTCTTTTTTTTTTAAATGGCCAAGAATTTAATACACTCTGACTAAAACTTCATTTTGAACACGTGGGGGTAAAATGGAAATGCCAAAGAAAAAGCCTAACAGCATTCATTATGTCTCCTCGAAAAACTTTTTTCAGATTAGCTTCATGTCTCTGTAGTTCTCTTATATTATCCGAAGTGGGTTATTATCAAGACAGGTAAAACAGGGCAAGGCCACACTGTGCTTATTCTGAAAACACATTTGAATAGTTATTGGAGAGGAGGACCTATAGACTCACAGACTCTGTTTCTCCCCGGCTCTTTTTAAAGGCGGAACCTACCGGAAGTCTCAGTTGCATTGTGACGAAATTCAGACGCAGCGAATTTCATCTTCAGCCTTCTCTCTAAACCCCTCACATTTGATCGAGTAAGTCTATTTTGCGTTTTAAAATAAAGTGATCACTTACGAACACATATTTAGTCAAGTGAACAGTTATAAGCTGCGGTTTCAGGATACATTTATGCAGCTAACGTTAGCTGCAGCTAACTCCACGTTACGCCTGTGAAAGCACTGTTAGCATGCTAACGGCTCCTTCGTAAACGTGTATATTACGGTTAAATTGAACGAACTATCCCAAACGTATAGAGAGTAGTTAGTTTTCCAATGTCTTAGTGACAAAGTTGTCGATTTGAACAGGTGTTTCGTTAAACGTTTAAACAAAATAGTACTGCAGCGTTGAAACTCAGTTAGCCTCAGCATGGACTCATGAACTGATATTTTGTCCACAGCCTCTGGGGCTCATCTCCTCTCAGCGAGAATGACGGACAGATACAACATCCACAGTCAGCTGGAGCATCTTCAGTCCAAGTACATCGGCACAGGACACGCTGACACCAGCAAGTGGGAATGGCTGGTCAACCAGCACAGAGACTCCTACTGCTCCTACATGGGACACTTTGACCTGCTCAACTACTTCTCCGTAGCTGAGAACGAGAGCAAAGCCAGAGTCCGCTTCAACCTGATGGAGAAGATGCTCCAACCGTGTGGACCACCGGCAGACAAACCCGACGATGCCTAGATCGCTCTCAAGTGAGCTGTGGATGGTTTTTTTTACAGAATGTTTGCATTAGTGTTTTTTTTTGTAATTTTGGACATGCAACTTGATTTACCCGCTCAACATATTCAATGTTACGCTTCTTTGAGCGTTCTGATCTTTGAAATTGGCCTTGTATGATCTTGCCAGCAGTGAATGGACTGTCCAGTTTTACAACAGTCAATACCGGACTACAAGTGTTTACGTTGTTTGCTCCTGAACCTCTGAAAACATTGTTTTCTGCCCTCTGACTCCGAGAAATGTACTGCAAACTAAAAAGGCTTCATGATCTAAACATTAGAAGAGGTTATGCAAAAGATGGTGGTATGCTTTCGTTTGTTTGAAATTTCTGTTTTGATTAAAATTCATATGCTACAATTTTTTTTTATGTAGTCATTGACCCTTACAAATCCCTCACATTTTCTCTCTCCTACTTATTCAAACATTTCTTTTAATTACCATCTCTTAATTACATCCACGCCATTTAGGAGAACAATTTAAGCAAATGGAAGCCGGAACTTAGCCGGAAGTCTCAGTCTGAAACAGTAGAAAACACTTTTGTGTATCCGAGCCCGAGAGCAGTGCAAAATGATGTTGATAAAAGGTCATTTTACACCTTTTTTTTTGTCTGGTATCTGTGTTTTTGGGGAAAACGTAAATGACAGGCTAGAACATTGAAAGCCTCTTGCACAGGTCAAGAGTATCTGCTGCATGTGTCTACGCTGCACAGAAGGACTTTCGTTTGTTTGTTTGGCCATGCAGATTTTGACAAGCTCTTGTCCACCTACACAGCCTCACAAACATGTACTGCACGCACTCAATCACTCGATCACCTGCCTACACATTTGTGAGTGCACGCAGATCATGACTGATCCACACATCTTCACAACGCTGTGCCTCATTCGGTCTGAATGCAGAGTGAAGTTCTACATTGCTACCTGTGAAGAATTTTCCCCCCGAGTCACGCGGTGTAATTTGAAGAGGTTGCTGATTTTCATAATTAACTTTGTGGTTGATGAAGCTTCTAATCGCATCATCTTGGTTTCATTTGCATACCTGCAAATCAGACTCCAAAGTGCAAACTAGAGCCTCGAGCAGCGGCGTCTGTTTTCAAACGAGCTCATGTCAGACGTTAAATTATTCCAGTGTTGAATATGATTCAGTTGCTTTGATCATCAGTGTCCGCCGTCACCAAACTCAAGACACTGTTTTTTCCACGGTGCAAATTTCCTCGGGATGTTTGATGTCGAGTGGGTGTTTGGAGTTTTGCTGCAGCACAAGGCTTTTTGTTTCGGGGTCGAAGTGAGTCTGCAAAGGAGCAGCAGGCGCTGAGGTTTCACTCTTAAAACGCCAGGTCACGTGTGTCGAAGCGCTGCTGCTGCCAGCCCGAACAGGCACACGCGCTATGGGAGAGGATGCTGTGCGTGACTCATGTCGGATTGACATGTCGGTGGGCGCCGAGGAAGTTGTCGCGTTGGAGATCCCTGTGTGTGTGTGTGTGTGTCGGAGGGCCACTTGGTGGGGTGTGTCCCCGCCATCTGTCTTCACCGAGAGTCGTGAAGACGACGCTGCCAAGTGAGGCGTGAGAGCAGCGTGACGCACGCACACACAAATTAAACCCTTGCATTAGATGCTCGACTGGTTGTCTCTGAGCAGATAAATAGACGGATGCTCCAGTTTACAGCGAAAGCAGTGATGGACATTTTTTATGGGAATACGGCCGACAGGTGGGTGTGTTTTTATTATAGACTCTCAAAGCTTCAATCCCTTCGTTCTGGTCAAACACATTTGAAGATAAACGTGGTGAATACCAAAGTCTCAAACAATATTTATGAAATGAAAGATTTTCTTGTTTCTGCATTCTAGAAATATTTAATGCTTCCATGCTTTTTTTATTTTGTACCATCTGGTGTTGAGGTTGTTAATCTAAATCCAAAAGACCCATAAATATAAGTGAAAGAAAAAAAAGAAAAGCACAATTTGAGACTACAGATTCCATGATTTTTCTGGAAGCAAATGAGTTAACTCAAATACCATCGTCATTCAATTTGCTACATTTGCAATTAATAACCATTTGGTATATATGCTGAACTTTTTCCCCCTCACCCACACTGTTTTCCTAATTTCCCGAGGTGCTCGAGCTGAAACCCACAGAGACTTTTAGCTCCGTTTGAAGCAGCTTAACTCTATTTTTTTCCCCTCGCTGCTACCGAGCTTAGTTACAACAGACCCGCTAAAGTATCTCCCAGCTCAACACCCGCCGCGTCGACCTAATCTCACGTGGCAGTTCATTACCGCCCCACCTCTGTGCTCACCCAGGACCCTGTTAGCGAGGCAATTAATTGTCTCCCTGCATGTGACTCTCTGTTAAACGTATAAGTGGCTCTGGGAAAGTGCTATGACGTTGTCGCATGTTTGCTTTTTTCTTTTTAAAGGCACCTAATAAAGTGAGAGGCGACTCCAAATGACCCGTCGCCCCATACGTGCTCGCGCTGATGTCTCGTTTGGCTCCCTGATTACTCGGGACCTCGGTGCACAGGTCCAGGAAGCACGTTCGCCCTCATCAAATATGAACGCTTGCACGATCCAATTATCTGTGCCCGTCTCTCCCGGCCTCCTGTTTCATCCGTCTGCCTCCACCCTCCTTCTCCTTCTCCTCCCCCCCCACCCCCACCGTCTCCTTTCAACCGCATCCTCTCCTTCCACTTTCTCTCTCTGCGTCTCCACTGCTCAGATAGGCTTACCAGAGGATGCAAAGCACCCGAGATAAAACCCGCAAGAAATGACTGTGTGTGTGAAATTGTGTTGTTCTGAGTAGAGTGTTCGGCATCATCTCCGCTGCCTAAATGCAAACCGAGGTGGAATAACGGCCATCAGAAGAGGAAAGCGACTGTAAGCCGGGTGTTTGGGATGAAATACGTTGTGTCAGTTTTGTGCAAATGACCAAGGCGGCTTGACCTTTTGAACCAGAGGTCGGCACCTTCGCTTCCCACATTCAGAGAATCAAAAAGCTGACTCCAAAGACTGTTGAGATAAACCTGAGGATTTACGGAGCGTGTGTGTGTGTGTGTGTGTGTGTGTGTGTGTGTGTGTGTGTGTGTGTGTGAGAGAGAGAGAGAGAGGGCAGGAGGTTTATGGTCGCTGAGGTCCAAGAGGGCATCTTTCAGGTACAAGCAGCAGCTGTCTTTCCTTTGCTCTACAAAACCGCCACCACTGTCGTATCTTATTATTCGACAAGAAACGAATCCGAAGCAAATCCAAAACGTTACTTGACGCCTTTCCTGTCGCTGAGGTCAAGTTGTTGCACAAACGTCCTGTTAAATCAGCTCCAAAGGTAAGAGGCTATCAGAGAAGGCCATTAAAGTAGGAGGTAATTGACGAGTCAGACTGTCTTTCATTTCCTACCAAATCTAAATCTATGAATCTTTGTCCCGTGTCTCCCTCCCTCTCCAGCTTTCATTTCTTTGTGCGCTTCTTCAGCATCAACCCATTACAGCCACATCCTTCTTTAAAAGGCCGTCTGGTCCTCTGGATGGGTGGAAGAATTACGGCTGGCTCTTTGATGGTTGTTCCCATAGAGATCCTCCCATGTAAACCTCAAGGCACTCGCTCAAAGATTCAGGGACGCTGGCAACAAAATAAGATGCGCTGCACTCTGACACCACAGACAAACTGGCGTAATGTATTTTTAAATGCGCGGCAGAGTGAAGCGGCAGAGTGTTTGCTTAAGGTGAATTGATATCTTTAACGTCGTTGGTCATCAGCTGATTCCAAATGTTGATAATCCTCACATTACATTACGTGTCAGCTGACTTACAATAAGTGCATTTCAACCATAAGGATACAAACAATTTCATCAAATAAGCCGATTTACAACTTGCTCTAGACGAGAGCCGTTATTCTCATGCTTATAATCATAGTTTCAACATTTTACAATTCGCTCTGGACACAAAGCACAGCTGATGAGCATGTAATTAGCTTTACAGGTAATACATGATGATGGGGATGCTTGTACTGTTCATCCTATGAGAGAACGGACGTCTGAATTTCATTGCAATCCATCTAACAATAATCCATCTTGTCACTCAAGCGAAGAGGTCACGTGTTCGGAGGATCACCAAAACCATTGTGATTCCCTCCCCGGGGGGGGCGGAGTGAACGTTTAGATAAATCTCACGGTAATGCATCCAGCCGTTAGTTTGTCCTCCGGTTATTAGAACCTCAGGCCGAGACAAAAAGAGCAGAGCAAGATTGAACGCATATTTCTTAAAGAGTCATCGCGCAGTTTTCCTCAACAATTATTCCAATTCGGGGGCCGGAGGAAGGTGATGAGACAAGCGGCGTTAAAGGGTTTCTTCATAAAAAAAAATTAAAGTAATATCCCTGGAAGGCTTAATTGGCACTTATCGCCACACTTTTCATTTCTAGGCTGGAGATCTTTCATTTTATAATTATTCCCAGAGACCTGAAAGGAATGATGTAATGTGTCTAAAAATAAACCCATGCTGAGTCGTTGCAGTTTGGGATAATGATTTATGAAATGTGCCCTTAATGGCCTCTTAAAACCACTTTTAAGAAATGTAGCCGGCAATGATATGATAATGAAAAAGAGGGAAGGGTAATTCATCAAATATCCCGTCTTCTCACAGGCCTGTTGGGCATGTCTAAATATTTTTTCGGAATCAATAAAACCAAATCCCATTACCCGACTGCGTGTTTCTATCTGTAAACATTTCTCTCTTCTTATGTAGAAATTCAGCACGCTCAAACCTATTTTTGGTAACAGTAATACTGATCATATGACGAGCAAAAACCAAGCGGACAGATCAGATGTTTTCCGATGATTCTTTATATACAAAACAATATACACAGTTTGAACGTAACAGTAGGTGTTTTGGGGATACATGACGTCATCCAACGACTTCAAAGATCAATCACAACAGAAAGCAAAGACTTCCAATGCATTTAGAGCTGGGGGGGGTTATATTGTGACTGACACCATAATCTTACTGTGAGCGTGATCACATGTTGTAGAATGGAGGCTTTTAGGAGCGGTCTGATTATGGATCGTTGATTTTCTTTGGAGGGGGGGGGGGGGGGGGGGTTAAACGAAGACACGACCACATCAACAACAGCAGACGCCCTCAAATGTAAACATTTCCATCTCCGTGTTGAAAGCCTCCGGTGCGGCAGATTGAAAGCAGCAGCCTGAGAAAAACAAGCGTCAAACTGATTCTTCCAGAATAAATAAATAGAATGTCAGGAATTGTATGTTTAATACTTTACCGATGCAAAGAAGAAAAAGTTATGTGAACTTTTCTTTGGTTTTATTGGGATTATTTCACAGTTCCACGCCAGATGAGATGAAAGAGACTGCAGCTGTACGTTTTTACAGGACCTGCTCCTTGTGAATAATACTGACCGGTTATAATTTAACAGTCTGGACTAGAATATGGATTTATGCATCAAATGGCCTGACCAGGAGTCCCCTGTGAAGTAGTTTCAGTATCAGAAAGTCGATTCACAAGTAGTATATTAACACACTACTTATAATGTAGTTCCAAGCAAATATAAAGACCTTTTTAAATGTTTATGCTCTTTGTCGAGGATTATAACTATATTTAATCCTCCATAATTGTTGTATAAACAGCTAATGAATGATTGACGTTTAATGACTGTAACTATGGGCTATTCACTAACATTTAAAATCATTCACACAGGTTTAAAACCAGGTATAAATGTGTTAAATATCATTATATAAAACGAGGAATACGTTATAATATTGTTTTGCAGATTAGCAGCTCTTCAGTTGAGGCCGACATCGATGTCGACAGAGTAACGTATCTAATTTTCTCTCTCTTTTAGCTGTTTTTGGTCTCTACCGGACGTCCCCCACTGCGTTCCCCAGCCGGTCGCTTCCCACGGCGGTAAAGGTGAATAAACTCATTGCAGAAGCCCCATAAAGCCCAGAGGAGCTGCAGATTCACTTGTTAATGATCACTACCTCCTTCGCATCGGGACCTTTGTTATAGAAAATATTGGTGGTAGCATTAAATGTCTTTATATCTGCTTACACCTACACAACCATTTACCCATCAACTATATACGACGTGTAAACGCTAAATAGGCTGGGTGGTTACCAGTAATGCTTTAGGGATGAACCTTTCTGCAGGGACGCAAACAGCTTATTTATGTTCCCTCGGCCACATCGGGAGCTGTTCTACCAACGCTTTATACACTTAGTGTATCTAAATGGTTTATTACAGTCTTTGATGCATTATGTTCCCCTCCATGAAAGCTCATTGTATGTGAAACCAATCAGAATCATGTTGACTCACTTATGCATCTGCATTATACACCGGGCCTGAAGCCAATTTGATGTGAGGTCACTTCCTGTTTGTTTGTATTTTTTATAGTTTGTGCAAGTTGACCTACGGCGCTCTGGAGAAATGAAGCAAAGGGGAAGTCCAGAGAGGATTTAAAACTGCTTTTGAACATCGTTTCTCTCCGTGAAAAACCTGCCGCGTAACAACAGTCGAAGCGAAGGTGGAAGAGAATAGAATAAGATATATTACTACCTTCCTGTATACTGCCTTGTCCATGGTGTGTTTGAGTACCAGGTAGGTTTGGGAGTAATTTAACATACTGCTGGCAACGTGCTGCCTAGAAACCGCACAGCAACAGTATCTTCTGCACGCTCCATTTCTTTCAAAACATTCACATTAACGTTGCGTCGGGTCACATTGGCAGTCAAATTGATTTGAATGTATGCACATGCTCGATATACATGTATGTGTACAAAATAATCAACATAGCAACATGGACGTTGACGTGGATGATCAGCGTTGGTTCTTTTCCATCACCATACATAATTGAGTGTTACAAGCTGATTCACATTCAGGAGCAGAAAGAACACATTTATCTTTTTCAGTTCTGGTCGAGGCTGCAGGTCTGTTACGGGAACACACGCCTCTGGACGTCAGCAAGCTCAATATTTCAACCACCTTTCAGCCATCGTCTCTAGCAAGAAAAACATCGCCATGTGTAATTCTTATATGAAAGTCTCGGCAGAGTTTTGTGTTATTTCTGCCCCAGCTTCTTATCCGTTCTATTCTATAGTTATAATGTCAGGTTTGGCCCTCTGCAGATCTTCCGACCTAAAACCAAACCACCTCCACGTTACGGACAAATCATAAATCTGGAGTCCAAACATATTTCCAAGAAATACATTGTGCTGCTTCATACCTCCCATGTGTCTGATCGATTACTATAACACACAGGGATATATTAGTTTTGCTTTGCATGCCTTTCATGAAACAAACTGCGTGTCGAAAAAGGTCTAACCTTTACCACTGGATTCAAAGTGCGCGTTTGGGGCAAAATGTAGAAGGATCACTTGTCAGCAGGTCTCTCCTTGCGTATCTATCGTGGGCTGACAGATTCAATTGCAAGAGCACGTTGAAGGAAGAAAACAAAGTACTTCTGGGCCTCTTCAAGAAGACCGATTGCCTCACTGAGTGGGAAACGCTCAGTTCCTGTTCGCTGTTCACGAAGCCCCCACAGGAAGTCACTTTAAATAACAACACCGACATGGAATCAAACATCTGCCTTCTCTTTGGCACCATAATAGAGCCTGAGCCGAGAGTCCAACATCAACGGTTGGAAATTGGATCCACGAAACAACAAGTCCAGCCATTTGTGAACGGAGGTTCGCACTTAATAACTCCTTGTAAGATACAGCCTACGATGGCACATGGACATCGTGTTTCATCCGAAAGGGCCTCCAATTCATATTGCACTTCACTGTTAAGAGCCTCAGGTGCCCGCCGGTCCCCAGCAGATATAAATACAACACTTGCAGAATATCCGTCGTCTACATTCGCGCCATTGTCCTCGCAGACTAGAACTCCAATGCCCTCTAGTGGCAATGTGCTTCAAATACGTCTACAGGCCGAACTCGGAGAGGCACATCTGAGCAGAACAAACTGCTTCTGCTCCCCTGTGATCTGTGACACCAGCGGGGCAACCCGTCCAATCACCGGCGCTCCCTGTCCTAGGAGGCAAGTACACAAACTCTTGAGTGCAGCCGAGCCACCTCCACTCCACCGAGAGGTCCACAACAAATAAACAAAAAACATCTCATACCAGCATGTTCTGGCCATCTACAATAAATAAATCGAATCAGAGCGCTGTACATACCACTGTTCTCACTAGAGATATGTGCAAATGTTTCACTGGCGTCCGCGGACGGCCACGGCCTTACACAACACACCTGTTACTGTTGCTGCTGACAGAAATGAATATCATCAGTTGCAAGAGGATCATAAAGCAATATGGACTGAGCGGTGTGCTGAGGGTCCGAGGGTCTGGAGGGCCGGGGAAGGTGGGGGGGCTGCTGGGAGCTGTGGACCGGAGACTTTTGGGGGCCGACGTCCAGCTGGCTGCCGGAGCACTTAGGGCCGGTGGAATCTGGAAATAAAAACACGCATGCACAACATGACATAACATCTACAAATCACATGTGCATTCGAGTTAAATTACATGGGTTGCTGGTCCCCATTTGAAGTGACAACCCTAAACCCTAAACCACATCCAATGAATTTGATTTTAGCAGGTGCTCGGTAGAACAAAATGTACCCAAAGCTAAATCTGAATCGGCACTGTTTTATATTACAGTTTTGCATCTGATTTTCTACTGCTGCTGTGTTTTGATCCAAAGAACCCATCAAACGGCTTTCACCTAAATAAACAAATTGACAGAGGCAGCTGCTGCCAATTGCTTTAGAGAGATGAAATGTGCCTGGCTGTAAGGATGTTACCGGAGGTTTTTTTCCCGAAGATTTATGACTGATCGAAACACTGCGGCGAGGATGAAGGTGTTTCATTATGTATTAGCTTCTTAAATGATAAGATAAAACCTATTCCCCATCCATCCAGAAGGAAATTGCTGTGCAGCAGTTGCATTACAAAGTGGGAAAAGTCCAAATACAAAGAGTGCATGTTAAGAGTCTCCGATAACAATATGTACATACACACAATGCCAATAATATGTACATACACACAATGCCAATAATATGTACATACACACAATGCCAATAATATGTACATACACACAATGGCAATAATATGTACATACACACAATGGCAATAATATGTACATACACACAATGGCAATAATATGTATATACACACAATGCTAATAATATGCATATACACACAATGCCAATAATATGCATATACACACAATGCCAATAATATGTACATACACACAATGGCAATAATATGTCATGAGAATATAAACAGGTGTTTACGGTTAATAGTGTTGAGACTACACTTTTGAATATAAATTAACATTTTCAATTGATTAATGATACACCATGTTGATTCATTAATTACATATTTAAATTAAAATGTGGATTACTTTCAACTGGTGGACAAATGACACTGGAGTCGTGAAAATGTCCTTTGGAGCATCAGAGTAATAAAGAAAAGTGACCAATGTAAATTGGTAAACTGCAGAGTTTATGCTGATGAATCACTAACGAGATGTTGACTCGAGTACCTGGTGAACTGTTTGCTGTCTTCGTGAACCTCCATCTCTTGGCTCTTGAACTTATTCAGCTCCGCACGGATAGCAGCCTGAGAGGCAAAACACACACACACACACACCGAGAAATCATAAAAAATGCAACTAGCAGGACGAGGCCACCGGTTCCCCAAATACACACAAACAACATCGAAACCGTTATGTGTTTTTGGACCTTTGGAGGTATTTGTGAGAACCTATAAAAGATTATTGTATTTAGTCTTTTCCTCTTGCAGATGAAAGTCTGCGAGGGTTCAGCGATCGGGAGGTCCGTGCTGTGTGGTCTAAAACGTCAGCAGCAGAGGGCCGGTTGGAGGTAGAAGCCCCCTCAGTGAACCATAAGGGCCTTTCTGCTTCTATGGAGACACATGGAGGTCTGTGCGGTACGTCGCCTGCGAGCATCGTCTCACCTCGCGGAGCTAAAGCTGGATTTCATCGAGTGCAACAAAAGAACTCACTTACTTACACTTTCACTTACTTACTTACATTTTCAGGCAGATATCAAAGCTACTGAATGCATAATGTTCGTATGCGAACAGCTGGATGACATATCGATGGAAAAGGGTCAAACAATAAGGAACAATGCAGCGATTCGATCAGACGTCGGCACCTTGTCGGAGGGAGTGAGTCGGGTCCAGGGTTTGTCCGCCCGCCGGTCGTAGTCTTTGGCGTCCGTTACCTCCACGTACTCGTTGAAACAGAGAATCCGGCGCTCCACGAGCTCTGCCACCGTAGGCCTCACACTCAGCTACACACACACGTGTGCATACGCGTGAAGGCACACACAGAGAGAAAGAGAAATTGGTTTAACACACTCTATTTGCCGATGTGCTGGTGCGTGATTTCATTATTGTATCGTGATCTTTAATCACAAGAACCCGAAAGTCAAGTTCCATCCGCGTCCACTAGATGGGCTGCTATCTCCGCACAAAGCAGATTCTCTGCCTCCTGAGGTGACTCATGAAGTGGAGCATAATGGTTGAGTGGCTAAATTTAGACTGGCTGCGTACTTTCAGTTTTGTCTCTGCTGCGTCTGTGTGGTTGGTGTTCACAGTACCTTCCTGGAGAGTCTTCTTTTAATCTCTTGCTTGGCTTCTTGCTCCTCTGCTTCATTCTTTTCTGCATGCGGGAAAAAAAAAGACGTCAGTCACTTCACAACAACGGCGTCTGCAACAGGCCGCTGCTTCTATTCATAAACAGCCAGATCTGATTAGCTATAGTGAAATGTGTCCGTGGCTGTGAAACAGTGCGATTGCTTTAACATTGACAAAGGCTACAGGGGAATTGATCTCCTGCGATTGCTTCTGGAGAGAGAATGAAACACGCGAGTTGAATCTGCAAAGCGTTCTCTCCAGTGGCGTCTTCGTGGATTCATAACATTTACTGCACACTCAGTTACTAAATGCATTTGGGAAGGTAGACACGGTCTGAATCTCAAAGCTTAAATGCCTCTTTTAAGAAGAAATGCCCTAAACATTTGGAGAGTTGCATATTGCATTCGCTTAACATCTCTACCTGCTATTTGCTAACGTTGAATGAAGTCTAGTAACTAAATTAGCAGCAACTGCACACACGAGTCTATGGAGCCTTATTGATTCTTGTGCATGTTACTCTTTAAGGTGCTCGTAGACTTACGCTTGAGGATGTTTCTCTGCTCCAGCTCCTCTGTGGTGGGTCTTTGGCTCAGGCTTCTGAAAAGACCAAACTGCATTACACACTACAAATACAGTACTTTTTGCACAATAATGCCGTTATGATATAAAAAATGGCTCAACCTCTTATGTATTGTATTTAGACCTACTCATTTTATCACACACTTTTGGTTTTTGTTATTTTTTGCCACCAGCTGTTCTGCCTCTTAAAGAAAAGGAGAAACTAAACTGGAGGACGGATATTTAAAGTGCATTGTTTGCACCAGTGCGCATCCCACAACTACACAATCAAAAAAGACAGAATTAACAACCTTTGTTGTTTCCCCGCTGATTTAAAAATTCACAGCGTGCTACATTTTCACAGCATTCTGCCGTGTGTGTGTGTGTGTGTGTGTGTGTGCGCGCACCTGACTAGTTTGGAGCCGATCAGCTGGCGTCGCTCGTGTCTCTCCGTCTCGGAGCTCCGCGGCAGAATGTTTTTCTCCTCCAGCTCCCTCTTGCTGGGACGGTTCCCCAGCTTGATGTTCAAGGTGTCTCGTCGCTGGATCTTCACGGCGAGAGCGCCTGCAACAAAGACACGCTGCAGTGAGGGAGCTGCTCATAACGGGCTCCGTCGAACCCTGCGAGACCCTCGCAAAACAGAGGTCACCCTGATGTATATCACAAACAAGCGAAACGATGACATCTCAAATGGAAATACAAGCCACGAGCTGCTTGTTCCTTCTGGTTTTGGATCAGTGTTTACAAAATAAACAGAACGTGCTCCCGCAGAGCCACACACACCGCCGCGTCAAAGTTAATGAAGCGCGCTCATGGGCTTCTCTGCGGATGTTGCTAACGAGTGCAAGAGCGCAAAGTGAATGGCGTACTGGTCGTGTACTCGTCGTCCTCCTCGTCTTCCTCCTCGTCCCGGTAGAGGATCGGCCCGTCCGAGTCCGAGTCGCTGGTCTGGCTGTCCCTCGGCCTGTCGGGGATCACCGTCACCAGGGCCCGGTCCGTGTTCACGCTGAGCCGCGCCGGCCTTTCGTCGTGGGCCTCGGCGGACCTGCAGGGGACCATCGACAACAGAGCGTGAACTCACGCGTCGCAACTGTGGTGGAAGAAATGAGGAAATGAAGGGGATGGCCATGATAAAAAGCCTAAATATAGTAATGCTAAAAACAATAACGATGATGTAAAACAAGATATCGAAAAATGGTTGGACCTTGAGACGGCATTAGCAATGCCTGCCAGGAAAATTACATTCATTCCTCCCTCTGTCTTTTTCTCCATCTGTATTCACTTTCTCCACCTCACACCTCCAACTGCTTCTCCCCACCTCACACACACACACACACACACACACACAGGAGCTTTACACAACAGACTGCATTGCAGCACCACTAACACACACACACACACACACACACACACACCACAAACCTGTTACTTCGTTTTTGTTTAGTTGGTTTTGCCAACTTCTCATTTCTATCCTGTCGTGTTACCAAATGCAGTAAGTCCTTTCTTGAAGTGAATAAAACGTCTGATCTCTCAATATTAAATTGCCCTGAATGAATCAAAAACACAAAGTGTATTGTCGCCCTCCTGTGAATAAGTGTCATACGACTCCAGTGGGACGCTGTAGAAATGTACTGACTGAAGTATGACAAACATAAGGAATGTTTCACGTCCGGACCACATTTTTACCTCGGGCTGTTCTCCGCTGCAGACTCTTCTCCGCCCCCCTCCCCTCCCGTTCTCCCCCGTTTCTCTCCGCCCGTCTCTCCCACTGTGAAGGAGGTGTCCTCTGTGGCCTTGTTGACGTGGGGGGACTGGCCGGCGGGTCCGGGAGCTGCGCCCCCGCCGGTCTCCTCGCCCGCAGCCGAGGCATTGGGAGCGGGTCGCGAGGCGGCCGGAGGTCCCACCGTCTCTTTGCCCGAGGCTTTGGACGAGGCCGCCTTGGTGTTTGAGGAAAGGAGCGAGGATTTTAACTCCCCAGGCTGAGCAGGAGTCTCTGCGGGGGCCTTTTGAGGGACGGAGGAAGAGCCGGGAGGGTTTGATTTCCGGTTCGTCCTCGCATCGGGGCCCTCTGTCTGCGCTAAAGCGTCCTTAGATGCACGGGAACGAGGGGTGGAGGTGGAGGAGTTTTTTGCTGTTTTCTTTAGATGGGAGGTTTTTGCTGAGGAAACACATGAGCACCAGAAAGACAGAAGTGAAATATTAGACTTTTTCTTTTCTCCAACAATTTCCTCCTACAGAAGACACAACAATCTATAAATATTGAATGTCTTGTACTAGTATTTAGTGCAACTTAAATGTATACGTCTTGTTCAATTTGTTTTATAAATATACAGTTATTTAAAAAGAAGAAAAAAAGGTGTATGGGGGAATAGATGCTACTTTTTGTCCCGTCAGCAGAAGTTGTATTGAAGAGTAACGACCACACCGACATGTAATTAAAAAAAAAAGCATGAGCATTACAATGACTATTTCCCATAATTATCACTCATTAAACCTGCCTAGAATATGGAATTCCTAAAGCCATATTGAATAAAATAGTCCTTTAAATGTCTTTGAGGATGCTGGTAGAAGCCGAAGGAAACTAAAGGACTTTCAATGTTAACAAAATACCAAGAAAACAACGTCCCAATTTCCTGATAACTCAAAATAAATTACACAGATGCCTCCAGAAAAGACAGCATGAACATCACATGCAAGTGTTGTCTTAGGTCCACCATGCTGGACGTTCATGTAGTACACAAACATACAAACGTGCACACACACATCAACACACAGAGTAACCGAATTGATCACGCCCGAGCATCATACCTGCAATCAAAACCACTTGTCAGACCTCAGTCACGCTGATGTGTTCCGACACACACAAACACACTTATTGGGCGTTTACAAAGCTGAGAAAATACATTTTCACTTCTGCTTTCTCAGAAACGGATATCACACACTCTTTCCAGTTACTGACATTTCACTGGACATTTGTTGTGATCAAGAGGACGCAATCAAGAGGCTTCTATATCTCTATATATATATATATATATAGACTATTACTGACAGAAGCTTGCCTTACAACACATGGTTCACCCTTCAAACACCGACATGAGCACATTTTCCATGCAGGGAGGCAGGCAGGAACACCGAGGAGGCAAACTGGCTTCAGGCCCAACTAGCTGAACTTACCGATGCCGCGACTAGTGCTGTTAGTGCTCCGTGGGTTAGCTTTAGCCTGAGTGGACGGGCCTGTCTTGCCTGTGGCTTTGGCAGTCTTTTTAGTCCCCGAAGCGCCTTCTCTGTGCTTGGTTGTGGATGCAGAGGCACCCGGCGCTTTGGAAGAGGAGGGCAGAGTGGGGCTCTGCTGTTTTTTAGCTTGAACGTCTCGGGGCTGCGCCTGCTTTGCCCGGGCGACGGGTTTAGTATCGCACCTTTCTGAGCAGAGCAGACGAGGCAGGGTGGTGTTTAGAGGTTAAGGTACGGACAGGGAGCAAGATAAAGGATGCACATTTGGGCAAACCGATGCACAAATGGAGGTGAAAGCAAAGCAAAGAGACAGCGATAGATGAGAGGTGAGTTGCACAGAGACGCTGCTGTTGATAGACGCCGTTTGATCAGTTAGGTAGGGGATATTAAAACAACCCATTAAACCTTCTCTGCCCCCCTCCCCCCACTGTGAAGGCATGTTTGTTCTGCTACTGTTTGTTGCCTGTGCCTCTCTGATTATTGACAAATGGCTCCGGGTTCAATGCTAACAGGGTGGAGATGAGAACAGCACAACACTTAGGCAGCATCAGACAGAAGAAGAGCGGCCGCTCTCCTGAGGTCGATGGAGGCATTAGGAGACGGCCACTGGAATGGAAATATCTATCTCTGAATCCCAGTCAGAGGACCCACCAAAGGATTCGACCCCCGGACAAAGAAACGGCTAAAAGTACAAAGTACAAAGGACTGAGAGGAAAAATCTCTAAAAAGACGCGGCGTTGGTTCAAGCGGACTCATCTTTGTTCTCTACTGGATTAATCTAACTGTGGATACAGAATATCTGTGTTTCAAGAAAGAAAATTATACTTGGACACCAAATATTTCTTTATGCTTGAAGCATGCAACAAATCATGGGTATTCATGATGAAACATGAGAGAAAGAACCTCTTTGTAATTTCTATAATCTCCACAAAGATCGGGCTAATGCCGTTTGTCTGTTGGGGCTTTCAGACTGAAACAATTGAGTTTTGTCAAATCCAAGAACAAGACAAACGTCGACAATAAAGGACCTGCTCATCTAAGCAAACGAGAGAGAAACTATTATTCCAGGGCTGAAGGTCAGAGGTCACACCGTTAAGGACACCAACGAGCCCAAAAAAGTGTCACAAGCGGTGGACCACGTTGGACCCAGCGACGCATCCGAGTTACCCGCTTTGTCCTCAGCGCCGTCGGGCCCGGAGGCCTTGTGGTCCAGCGCCGTTTCTGGAGACTCTACGTCAACTTTAACCTCCTCTGATGTCACACTGGATGTGGCGTGGCCGTTCAGATTTTCGCTGCCGATCGTTTCATCTGTAAGAGACAAAGTTTTGCTTTTACTGCCGACAGGCGGATGTTTTAGAAAACGGCTCAAGTTCATGTGTGAAGGCCGGCGCAACGCAACCAATGAATGAAAGGAGAAACACGCGAGCAAGTGATTCCACAGACCTTGGTCGAGGATGAGAACTCCTTTTTTGATGAGCTCCTCCCTCGTTTGTCTGGTGGAGATTTTTCTCTCCAGGACTGAAAGACCAACAAAAATCGCAACCGTCACCTCGTCTTTTGAATACAGCAAACAATTCACACCGAATTCTAAGAAAGCGTTACGCAACAGCCGCTTTCCTCTTCTTACTGCTAAATGTCACGGGCGACCGCCACACGGTCACGGATGAGTTTCTGAGCCACTTCTGTTGACCCCGTTGTGAATAAACTAGCTGCTGTTTTTCTCTCATTGGGAATCAATCAGGTTCAAAGTGACCTCGGACACAAAATGACCTCTCAGATGTGAGAACGTGGTGGTTTTATTTGTCATGCACGCGATCGAAATACTGTTTATTGGAGGGACGGTCGGCTCAAACGAGGATGCCAATAAGACCGACCCACCTTTGGAGAGATCCTGGAACTTGTCGCTGGTCTTCTTCTTCCTCCACTTCCAGGGTTTGAACAGTTTCCCGAGTGACGACAGCTTGCCCCGTTGCTGCCGCGTCGCTGGGGCATTCTGGGTACCGGCGGCGTTGTCCACCACCACGTCGCAGCTGGCCAGCGATGACGATTTCTCCAGCCCATCAACTGCGAGACACGCGGGCAGAAAATACAAAAACAGAACATCAGCACCGTGGAGCAAACACAGGTTCTCTAGGTGTCACACAAATCGACGTTTGTGATCCGTTAACGGCTGATGCTGGACTCAAATGTGTCCGAAAGAACACTGGATCCAGATTAACTTCGGGCAGACAAAGCGTTCTTTTCACTTGTCGGTGTTGCGAAACACTGACTAGTTTCATAATTACCACCGTTATCGTGTGAAATAAAGCATGTGGGTGAAATCACAGGAGAACTCATGATGAATATCGCAACTTACCTCCCTGTAAGACTATAAAGCACTGAGCTACAGGGGTTAGCCAACAAGAATTAAGCTGTTCAGCAAGAGAAAAATCATTGTGTATTTTTTCTTCACTTTTCTTTAACTGTAAAAGTTTCTCAATCAACTTGAATGAAGTCGTGCGCATGTAAAGACTCCTCTTCTGTTGAACTCAATCCAGGCTTTGTTTTAACCGACGATGGTGCGCCAACGCTAAAAGAAAAAGACTTTCTCCCAGCGTTCAACGGCTCGGCAGGAACAGTGTGTGTGTGTGTGTGTGTGTGTGTGTGTGTGTGTGTGTGTGTGTGTGTGTGTGTGTGTGTGTGTGTGTGATCCCTGTCCTTCCAAAAGTCCTTTCCTGTTGAAAGATAAGAAGTCCTGTGAACCCTCTGGTAGACTTCAGGCAGTGTGCAGATGGTGTGTGTGTGTGTGTGTGTGTGTGTGTGTGTGTGTGCGTGCGTCATACCGGAACCTTTCAGAGGAAAGAGGGGTGGTGTGTGATTCCTCAGATTCAAGCAGAGGAAGGGTTTTGTTGTTACAGTTCTGCTGACTCGCTCTAGGGAGCCCGGCAGGCATCAAAAGGTTATTGTTGCTCCTGACAAACTTTACGTGATTTTTCCCCCAGAACATCATCATGTGTGCCGTCAAATTACCGAATGAATTCCCTCAACAAAAAATGTAAAGTCACTGCAGCAGCAAGGAGATAGAGTTAGAGTTTGAGGCTTGAGTCCGAGGCTGCTCGGGACAGTGAGTGAACATCCCTCAAATTAAATTTGTCAGAGGCCACACTGCCATCAAGGTCAAATATTTCTACTCCTTAAACCTGCACGGTTCCACATTGTCCTCGCCAGTAAACCAAGCTGACTTTAAAACTATACACTGTTCTTTATGTATTGGGCACAAATGTTTTAATTTAATTTTTCATTTCTACTGCCAATCAATCACAGTGCCGCGTCTCTTCCTGGCCTTTTGTTGTGTTCACTTTAATCTCAACATTCCATCATTTCCTGTTTTATTTTGTGTCACTAACCTCTCCTTTGGTTTCAGATACTTCACTTCCTGCCCTTTAGTATTTTCCCATTTGGGGGATGGGCCCAATGCCAAAAGGCCCCCCCCCCCCCCCCGACCTCTGACCCCTCAGGGACTTAACTGACGTCACCTATGAATAGGAAAGAAACCTCACTGCCACATGCCTCGTCGCCATGGCAACATCGAACAATATGATTTACAATTTGAGGGGATTTATTTCAGCACATATTTGAACGTCCTTCAGGCTCTTTCCTCATAAGCTGAGGTCATTTATAATAATGTTTTGACCGTTTTCCGTCACTGTTGGGTCAACTGACTGGATCCTTATGTCTGCTGTGTTTAGTTTAATTAAATCATGGCCCCTGTTAGACTAATAACAGTGTCGAGGAAGTGGTGTCATTATCGAAGACGCTGACCTGCCCTCGTCTCTCCGACCAGCACACACACACACACACACACACACACACACACACACACACACACACACACACACACACACACACACACACACACACACACACACACACACACACACACACACACACACTCGTATAATCCATGAAAAGATGAGCGAGCGAGTTGGTAGGAGGGATTTGACCTTCAACTGTGGTTGAAACGGGAGCTCAGAGCAATGAGACAGAGGTTTGCCGCCGATGGGTTCAAAAACGCAAAGACCGGTCAGCTGGAGTCCTTCTCGATGACTAGCGACAGAAACGATGCGAAAGGTTGCTCCAAAAGAAAACAGTGCAGCGTTTTCTCAAATCCGTTTAAGAGGGTTATGCAGCAAGAAAAACAGCTGAGAGCACAACCGGCTGCCTTACGGAAGAATTATTAGCGTGTGCTGTTGCCCAACAGCGCAAAGCCAGCGCTTGAAAGGTAAAATCGAAAGAATGCAGTTGAACTCCCGGGAAATGACCTAATTTTTTAACTCATCCGTATTACTTCCTAATCGCATGGTGCTGTTCCGTATCCTGGAATTCAGCTCAATGAGAAAAAAAAAAAAAGCAATCAATATCCTGTTAATTTGTTGGCTCTCACCAGCGCCGACAGCCCGTTGATGCCGATACTAGACGTCGTTGGCCATCTGGTGCTCAAGGCGCCTCGCTGGCAGTGATCAGAGTGAGCGGTGGTGATGGTGGATTGATGCAGAGCATCCCATAACATATCAAACGTTAAGGCTTCGGGGCGTTTGGTCGTCAGCGGGGGGGTTTATGTCATCAGAAAGCAGATGCCTCATCACCTTGAATTATAAAGCGGGGCAGGATGGTTTTTAGATTGAGGTGTGATTTCTCTAAAGGGATCTTTACCACACAAGTATTTCTGGTCTGGAGAAGCCGGAGCGGCGGGTGTGCCAGGAAACCAGAGCAGAATTCTTTATTTTAAAACAGGTTTGTACCTACATCCCGCCTTTAATAACTGCTAAAAATAAATAAGTAAATAAAGTGGGGCTCCAAAAAATTCAAACAGTGCACGTTTGTTTCGCTAAATGCACGTGATGTCCCGGCATGACGTTCCAGTGTGCATGTTTGACTCACCTTTACCACCCCGACTGTGGAGGGATGTCGCTAAACAACTTTTACATTCACAAACAGGGGCAATAAAAAAAGCTCTGAAAATAGGGGCCAAAGATTGGGAAGAGTGCGAAAGCCATTCTTTGCCCCCCCCCCCCCCCCCCGACACCAATTGAATTCTCCCTCTCGCACACATCCACACAAACGCACACTTATTTACTGTTAACGTGTTGGCATCAAATCGCTAGGTGCATTTCAGCAGCCGCTTTGTGCAGCTAATGATGGGAAAAAAACAGCGATTATCGCGACCATTAGTCCAGCGATTAAACTCTAGAGGGAGCCTAATATGGACAATGGACAGACGTGTTACTGGCAAAGAGAAAGGAAAAGAGGAATAGTAAAGAGGAGTGAAGGATAGATTAACGTTGATTTAGAGAATGGAAAGCAGATAGGGAACTTTTTAAGATGGTCGGTCGCACACAGTCTCCTTTATCGACAGACGTGTGCTTATTTTCATAACAAATCTTTGCCCTGTTTGTTTGGTTGAAGCCTAATCGGATCCAGACCATTGCAGCCTTTGGAGATCTGAAACTGATGCGTGTGGTGTTGCAACACAGGAAATGGATATTTTCATAAGCCGACAGTTCCACGACACAAAGCGTTCATTTGCAAAGAACGGTCAATGGACAGAAACTTAACACTCGAGCCTCCCGTTATTGTTATCTACCTTCGCTGTTATTTCATTTTATTTCATTACTTGTGCACTGCTGTCTTGTTGTCTATTGTTACACTGTCTACTGTCACCAACCGCCATGTTTGACATATTTTGGCCATAAATGTTTCCTGATTCCTGATCCTGATTTCACATTGTGAGAGAAAACACGTAATGAGCAACTTATTTTTGGAGGAATTTGGGGGAAATGCAAAGCGGCTTACTTAATGAATTCTCTTAATTTTGATAGGGTGGAGGAATGTTGCTCTCCGAGGCTCCCCGCCCCAACAAGAACGTCAGCATTTGTCGTTTTAGGAAGTTTCCCCACGATGACACTGCCGTTTGGTTTGCAGACGTAGCGGATATGAGAGGAGCGGAGAAGGACGTCAGGTGAGGATGCTTCTGGTTGGGCCTCGACACGGGAGGCCGCAGTTTGTTTCAGTTTGTTGTTGTTTTTAAAGCGTGACCTCAAAAATTCTCTAACCGTATTGTAACCATGACAGCAAAATGTCAACATGCCAACCTCGCTAAGTACTTTGCTAACCACGAGCTGACCCAAACTCAAACCGATTATATTTCGTGCCTAAACCCAAACTTTCCCAACCCGACAGGAATAAAGAAATCAAGTGAAGGAATTGACAGCATCAACCACCAAAAATAACGTGCAAAGCCTCAGAAAGACCAACAACATGACGCGTGAATAAATGGCCAACCTCTTCCACGAGGAAAGATGAAACCAGAACAGCTCAGAGCCTGAGGTCATGAATCTGCTGATAAATACAACAGTTAGTGTTACGCAAACCGGAGTCATTTATGGAGACTTAAAGTCCATTCACTACACACAAGAACTGCCAGCGATCAAGTTTCACAGCAATCCCGCACGCCAAACAGGACGGATCCACCCGAGCAAAGCAGAGGATGGGATCATCACACACCTTGAGATGTGTAGAATGAATGTGAGGCGAATGCCGGTGTGTCTACGTCGCCTCTGCGGACCTGATGGAGGACTCGTCGGTAGCGTTGGATACGCTTTCTTTGCTTTCTTTTATTTTTTATTTTTTTTACAGATTCCTCCCGTTTGGTTGACGTGCATCGACTCAATCGGCTGAGTAGATACGCGCGTGTGTCTCGTCTTTGCCTCGGTCCAAGAGCATGTAGTTCCAGACGTTATGGCAGCAACATGTGTTGTTGAGGAGGAAGAAGGAAGAAAGGGGGGGGGAAGGGAGAGGCTTGCTTGCTTCCTTCCTTCCTTCCTTCCTTCCTTCGTTCGCTGCAAGTCACCGTGGGACGCCGCGAGACAGCCGAAGAGAGACAAAAGAGGGGAGGCGACGGAGGGAGAGAGATCGGGAGAGGTGGAAACTGAGGTGGGGCCAGAGAGGAAATGTGGGACGGGAAAGAGGAGCTTGCATTAAAAAAAAAAAGAAGAAGAAAAAAAGAGGTGTTTGATGGGAGCGGACGAGGGAGGGCCGGCGCCGGGCACTGGCTGATGTTTCAACACTTCATTTCTTCCTAACTTTTTTTCCACTGCAGGCCGGAGAAGCAGAGCACTGTGCAACTCATGATACTCCGAGGGCCCGGGCCGAGTCGGGAGTAACAGACCCGAAAGAAATCAAAGAGGAGACCGCAGCTGCAGTGTTTTAAGGCTCATTTATAACTCATTACGCCTGAGAGGCTATCGGTTTTATATTAATGGTCTTTCGGTGGAACCCTGACGGATCGCTTACCCCTCCAGCTCTTAGCACTGTTGATTCAGCATTTAAGGCATCATAATGAAACCCATAACGCTGCGCGTATATAGATCATTATTATGGCCTTAGGTCCCTACGAATGTTGGCTTAAGTGTGCTACAAAACAGTCTTCACTTTTACAGCGCCGTTAAACAAAAAGTCCAGCTTGGTTTTTCATCCAGAGTCCTTCGTCCTTCCCGCTGCCCTAAAGCGTTACTGTGAAAAATGTGAGCAAATAGTAAATGTTTACTTTCATGCTTCATGGACTACAGATGACAAAGGAGGAATAGATTCGTAAGTGTGTTC